TTAACTATAAATACATCAATATCTTGAAATATATCTACACAAAAAGTACGAGCAGAGTTAAATTAGAAACTAGAGGAGACGAGATAAAAATAGAACGAGGAGTCAGACAGGGAGATCCTCTTTCCCCGAAGCTGTTCATAGCAGTACTTGAAACTATTTTTCAAAAACTAGATTGGAAAAAAAGGGGAGTGTACATAAACGGACACTACCTAAACCATCTGAGGTTCGCTGACGATGTTGTTATAATTGCTGAAACTGCCAAAGACCTAGAGGAAATGATGAGATCACTGGACTGCGAAAGTTCAAAAATCGGCCTAGAAATGAATGTAAGCAAAACTAAGATATTAACCAACAATCACGAACGCCCGATAATGATAAAAGGTAACAATATAGAATACGTCAGCGAATACATCTACTTAGGGAAGCAAATCTCATTCAAAACGACAAGCAACGAAGAAGAAGTAACAAGAAGAATCAACGCAACTTGGAAGAAATTCTGGGCACTAAAAGAAATCCTAAAAGGGAACTACAGCTTGCGTATGAAAAGGGCAACATTTGATACATGCCTGTTACCCTGCTTGTTGTATGGCTGCCAAACGTGGATATTTACAAATAAAATAAAACAAAAAATTAAATGCAGTCAAACAGCCATGGAAAGGAGCATGTTGAAAATTAGAAGAATACATAGAATTAAGAATGAAAGCATTCGTCAAAAAACTAAACTTACCGATGCTCTCAGCCACGCACTCTCACTTAAGTGGAGATGGGCCGGACACATCTCACGATACCCAGACAAAAGATGGACCATTGAAGCCACACGATGGAATGGACCAATGGGGAAAAGGAATGTTGGTCGACAATTAAGACGATGGGCCGATGACATAACACACGTCGCAGGAAACGACTGGATAAAATCAGGCAAGGACAAGGAGTCATGGAAAAGGATGGAGGAGGCCTTTACCCAGATAGGGGTCCAAATCTCATAAATAGTACCAATATTAAATAATTAATTAATTATAAGTATGTAACCTTTTAATTTTAAACTACAACTTACTAACAATCATTGTGTTATAAATCGAGAGTGAGAATTGGATTAAATGGCTTTATTATTATTATTATTATTATTAATTGATGACATTTTAGTTCTCAACTGTTTCTGATTTCCCGTTAATATTAGATCTCTCAAGATATGTATGTAAGTATTCACAGATAAAGCTAGATGTTAGTTAGTACACACCTATTGAGCGAGAGATTATGTCGGATGGAGTTCTGCCAGCCCTTGTCTGCGGTGCGGTAGTAGGGGTAGTGCTTGGTGATGTAGCTGTAGATGCCGCTGAGCGTGAGCTGCTTGTCGTGCGCGGAGGCCACGGCTTGGACGATGAGCTGCGCGTAGCTGTAGGGCGGCTTCACGTCGTCTGGCACGTCACGCTCGCGCACGTCACGCACGTCGCGCACGTCACGCACGTCACGCACGTCACGCACGTCACGCACGCCGCCGTACACGGACTCGCTCATCGATGACGACTGAAATGTAATTTATTTATTACGAGCTTATGTTGACAAACCCGCAACTAGCTACAGAATCATCTTCCGTCATACTACAGAATTAAAATCGAGAATACAGTTTTAATTTGGGAACCGCGCTGCACACGACATGGGTATGGGAATGGTATGGTATGCATATGGTATGGGTATGGTATAGTATGGTATAGTATGGTGTGGTATGGGTATGATAAGGTATGGGCATGGGTATGGGTATGGTATGGGTTTGGTATGGGTATGGTATGGGTATGATATGGGTATGGTATAGGTATTATTTCAGTTGTGTAATGTGCATGTTATTAGAAATGCATTATAATTGCATTCATATTGCATATAATTGCATTTGAATTCCTTGCTCTTATTCAAGTTCCTTTTTAGTAATGGAACTACGTTAAGAGTAGTTGGTAAAGTAGTGACTGTATGAATCGCCTGCGGAATCATCTCATTCCTTAGACTACGAAGACCGCTCACAATTCCATCGTTGATTTGAGACACGAAGTTAAAATCCAATGAGGACGTCAGAGCAATTTTATTCTACCCCTAGGCTTGTGATATGCGGCTTGTCAAGGAAGTTTGTCGATCGTATGATGCGTGCACTGACCGCGGTCCCGTTGGAGTCGGGGCGCGCGTGGTCGGCCAGCGCGGCGCAGTGCGCGACCAGCCCCAGGTCGGCGTGGCGGCGCGCCGAGGAGCCCGCGCCGCGCGGGGACGTGGGACAGCTGTTCGCCGCACTGATCGTGCCTGCAACGCACACAAACGCACTGCTTAGTGGACACATGACGACACAATCCTGGACGTGCACCAGTGTAACGGTTATTGTTTTAATTATTATTTTGATAGCAGGAGATGACTTGAGACACCGACGTCAGTTACAAACAACGGAAATTTACATACACATTATACATTTAACAAAAAGTTCAAAGGCAACGTAATAAGTTGTTAGATTTAAATGTATATATAATGATTGAATTCGAGCTGTTGTTAGAATCCATTTCAGTATGTTATTATTATTGTCAAAATGTATTTTAAATCTACGAAGAAAGCTGTCCACCATTTGAAATGCCATTTATAGTGGAACACGAGCCAATAGCCGATTGCTTCCCGACCAGTAGCTGTGGTATCGCCCTGCTACTGCGTGGGAGTAGCACAAATCAATTAATAATATACTTTCGCAGTTTATGTACAATATACATATAATACATACATTATTTTCACTAAGATGAGTACCTCAGGCAAAATAATTGAAAACTAAGATTTAAAGGTTACCTGCTTCGTTGTTCTATTGGTTAGTTATAGTGACCAAAGTGACTAGGGTGACCATAGTATCCACCGTGCTCTGGATTAGATTGAATTTAGAAATTGAATGATTGTTTATTGATGTTTTAGTTCAATTATATCCACTTCCGGAGTTATTAGTAATCAGGAATTTCGCATGCGCAATGTGAACTTATATGAACAAGTATCTCGAGGCAACGGTCTCCCGAACCATTCGGTTCGTGAACTTTACTCCCAGGAAACCATGCACAATAGCGCTCAAATCTATATTGACGAACATATTAATTCAATTCAATCAATCAATCAATGAGCCCTTTATCCTAAACTTTTAAGACTTGATTTAAGTTACTGGTTGATAGGACGTCTATTACTGATGGTAGGACCTCTTGTGAGTTCGCACGGGTGGGTACCACCACACTGCTTGTTTCTTCCGTGAAGTAATGCGTTTCGGTTTGAAAGGTTGTAACTATACTGAGACTTTAGAACTCAGATCTCAAGGTGGGTGGTACGGGTGTTAGGGGGTAGTGTGTGTTTACCTGTAGGCGAGGGCGCCGGGCTGCGACCGTCGCTGTCGGTGGGTATGGTGATGCGCAGCGGCGGCATGGGGGCCACGCTCAGCGCGGCGCCGCCCGCCTCCACCAGCGACTGGAACTCCAGCCGGATGTTCGTCGAAGGAAAACGAAATGTACATCTGGAAACAAGTACAGTACATTCTTCAGTTTATTCTCCACATTTATCTGTTATCTCTCATACTTCCAAAGAAATGTCAATGCGCAATATTCTTTGAGACTGCTACATCACAGTGAAATAGGAATTGTGATTGTTTCAATGCAACATGTAAACTATACCATATCATTATGGTTCATCCCATTGTTTTACGGTCTTATTCGTAAATATTTGTCGGAGCTTTATAAGTGTTATTGATTTTATGGTCTTCTTTACTTTTATTATGAATAATAGTTTTTAAGTATTACGAGTAAGACCTTTCGTTTTTACGCAAAAAACGCAATAAAGATAGTTATAATATTGTATGTTGGAACGGTATAACAATTAACAGTTGGACAGGTCTAAAGACTTTAAGATAGGAAACAGATGTTACAGGCTTGTGAGGTTTTATGAAGTTTAAAATAAAAAAATATGTGTCCAACTATTAGATGTTGAAATACATCAATGTGTAAAATGATTCATCTGTTATTGTAAAGTTATCACGAAACTACAATGGCGCCCACCGTGTTGCCACTATCTAGCTGCCATTTTGAGCACAATGCTCATCAACTGGCTCGACACAACAATGATTATAAAGCGCGTTTAAGGTCCTCGTGGCGCGTGAGCTGCTACTACTATGAGCGCAACGTGGAGGGAGGATGACGTCCGGCGCCATGGTTCGCCACGATTCTAAATAAAACCATTATGTATTGAAAGGTGGAGTGGACCGGACATTGTCTGACACGAGACAAACGCGCGGAAATATCTAGCCGCATCTAGTAGTGCTCGGCTGAGTTTGTTTTGTGCTTCTAGGTATTTATTGCCACGGCTCACTCTCTGTTAACTGAACAGAGTCCGTTGATGCGACTACTGTACTGTACTCAACGAGTAACGAAAACTGAAGTGGTAATATAACCAGTAACAGTCCAGTGATCTTTACTGTTTTTAAACTTAATATAATCATCACCGATTACCTTATAGGTACGAGTATAACGGCACGTGACGTTTTTTTATATACCTCATAAAAATCAATTGATTTTGTAATGTACTTATGATGTAAGTTAAAGTACAGTAAAAGTTAAAGTAAAGTTAAATTTTTATTTATTTTTATATTTTTTTTAAGCTGCCCACGGGTTGTTATTACTGTGTGCTTATTATGTTTTGTATTCGGGTTCACCATTTAATTTGATTTTTATTTTGTTTTTTCTTAAATTTTTATAATTTACTAATTTTACTAATTTATATCATATTCTGAGTATGTACATACGTACGGAGTCTTCATTCCCGCAAAGAACCAAAGGGAAACGGGGGTGACTGAAAATCAGCGCTGTTCAATTTATCAACCTTGAACAGCAATAGCTGAGCCACCTCCTTTTGCCTTTTTCTCTTTTTTTTGCTTTTCTTTTTTTTGTATTTCATTTTATGATGTGAAAGGCAATAAATGATCTTTATTATTATTATTATATTATTATATGTAAGTATAATTTATTTCCTTATTGTTATAATAATAATAATAATTAATAATATTGGGACCTGGCCCACGAGACTACCCCCTCATGTGGCATATTGATTCAATCATCATTGTTTCGATAGTTGTGTCGGTGCACGATTTGATAGCGAAAAGTTTCGACCAGCACCTTAAGAAACTTTCATTTTTCAACCGAATTAGGGGCCTGGTATAGAAAGCAGTTATCCTTGATACGGCCAGTACTGTGAGAAGGTTTCTCACTCTGGAGTTCTAACCACTAGCGGATGTGTCGTAGACCCATTCATTATCTTTTTTAAATATGTTATAGGCAATCAGATTTTAATAAATATGGTATAAATAATAATAATAAATATGACGGGTAGTCACATATTGCGTGCTCTCTGTGTGAGTAGGCCACATGCTTATTCCACCCTTACGCAGACAGTAGTCGAGCCACCGCCGCGTCGGGACCCATGAACATCTCTTTGAAACGTACAAGTGTTTCACTGTATATCTAATATATCTATCTGTATCAAGACCAATCTATTTTTGTTGAATACAAATCTCAGTCAGTTCGTCATAGAGTTGTTCGGACGGGTGCGCGTTAGGCTCGCTGTACACGAACACGTTTATATTGTTGTTACATATAATCGCATTCACAGAGTGCAAAAGTTCCGTAAAATCAGTTAGATTGGCTACATTATCCGTTTGCATATAGACATCTATCTATCTATCTATCATTATCTTTGAAGTCGTCGTGGCCTAAAGGATAAGACGTCCGGNTTCGTCATAGAGTTGTTCGGACGGGTGCGCGTTAGGCTCGCTGTACACGAACACGTTTATATTGTTGTTACATATAATCGCATTCACAGAGTGCAAAAGTTCCGTAAAATCAGTTAGATTGGCTACATTATCCGTTTGCATATAGACATCTATCTATCTATCTATCATTATCTTTGAAGTCGTCGTGGCCTAAAGGATAAGACGTCCGGTGCATTCGTTGTTGCGATGCACCGGTGTTCGAATCCCGCAGGCGAGTACCAATTTTTCTAATGAAATACGTACTCAACAAATGTTCACGATTGACTTCCAAGGTGAAGGAATAACATCGTGTAATATAAATCAAACCCACAAATTATAATTTGCGTAATCACTGGTGGTAGGACCTGTTGTGAGTCCGCGCGAGTAGGTACCACCACCCTGCCTATTTCTGTCGTGAAGCAATAATGCGTTTCGGTTTGAAGGGTGGGGCAGCCGTTGTAACTATACTGAGATCTTAGAACTTATATCTCAAGGTGGGTGGCGCATTTACGTTGTAAATGTCTATGGGCTCCAGTAACCACTTAACACCAGGTGGGCTGTGAGCTCGTCCACCCATCTAAGCAATAAAAAAAAAATACATCTTGTACTAAAGGAAAATGGATTTCTTATTATCTAATAATCAAGCCATACTAGACCAAGTCGCCTGCTGTGTGTGTGTGTGTGTGTGTGTGTTTGTGCAATGGGAACCATTTCCGAGAACACCGCTCAGTGTTTTTAATAGCACGGTGACAACGCGACGGTCGATGCACGCGAGCCACTTCTGCAAAACTTTAATTTGTTAGAGAGCTTTCGATGCGACTATATAGTTCAGAAGGGTGAACAGAGTTCGTTGGGTCTCGCTGACCTTCTGTTTACTCATTGGTTTCAACAAATCGTTTCAACTTATTCCTACACTGTTCTCTTTGCGTTATTTGGTCGACTTCTACACGTCCATCTAAACTATTCGAAAAGTTCGAAATTATTACATAAAATTACAAAAAAGTGTCTTACACATTTTCGGTTCATCAATTAATAATAATTATGTGTTATTAATAAATGTTACGATTCCTCACGAACCGTTTTTTTTTAAATCCAGAAATAATGTTGAATACCTAATCCGATTTTTAGAGTCGGCACATAGTGTTGAAGGCTCCAGAGCAGCAGTCAAGAGTATCGGGGTCGACCATGTGTCTGTGTATTATTGATCCTCCAGCTCACTCGAGCTACGAGCAAGCAACCGCTGTATGGTTTCACGATCACCTTTTTCCTCTGTAGCTATTGTTTCATAGCTCTGATTTAAATTGACAAGAGATGCCGCGGCGTAAGTTGTGCACTCGACACATGGTATATTCCTCATCCGACAGACACAGCATTTCAATCAATGTCCAGTTTTTGCAATAATTATTGTTAGATATTTGTACAGATTAGTGAGTAATATTGTTGAAGCTTCAACTTCTCATCTATTACTTTAACTATATACCCTAAAAATGAACTCACAGTTATCTGTAATATATTACAACAATTGCAAAATACTTTATTCAAGAGGTCGTTCTCAAGATTTTGAATATAACAGAGTTCACAATATTCTTGCATGCGCCATGCTTAATAGTAGAATGAAGACTACATTAGTAACAAGAAACAGGGTAGACAAGTCTGTCAACAATGTTTCCGGAACTCGATGGCTAGCAGCAACAATGTACACTGATGGAGTCAACAATACCAGGACATTGTGAAAATTCATTGCATTAGTAAAAAATTAACGCGAAAGTGTCAACAATAATGAGAACAAGTAAAGGAGGTATCTCTGACTCTCAGATAATTTTCTTTTTTTAAATATGGGTTGACGAGGTTTATGGTTTGTATTCAATATTTTTTTGTAATCGTTTTTTTTTTAATTTTACAAGATTAAATGTCAATAAGGGGCCATCCATAAAGTACGTCACACGAATTTTAGGACTTTTGAACCCCTCCCCCCTCCTTGTCACAGGTTGTCACATTTTTATAACCCCCCCCTCCTGATGTGACGTCACACATTTTTTAAATTTATGTATGTGTTTAAAAATAATCGAGAGAAAACAGCTATTTTCATTTTTTACTTATTTTTATTAAATAATAATCTAATAAAATCAACATAAAGTCCAACATTTCATAAAACCGAAAAAACAAACGACTAGTTAGAAAATAATAAACGATTAATTATATTAATTAAAGATAAAAAACTTAATTATTGAGTGTCCATGGACTTTGGATCCACTCTTTTATATCAGCTATTACTGGTAAATCAGGCACTTCATTTTCGTTCTGAATTTGAACGTCAGGAACATCCTAATTTGAGTGTCTCACTTGCATTACAACGCCGCTCTAGAAGTTAAATGACGTTGCATGAGAGATTATCGCATAGCGAGAATGCTAAATTATTAATAAATATAGATNCCTAATTTGAGTGTCTCACTTGCATTACAACGCCGCTCTAGAAGTTAAATGACGTTGCATGAGAGATTATCGCATAGCGAGAATGCTAAATTATTAATAAATATAGATCAAGTTTGTAAATTTTTAAAATTTTTAATTCACATACAAACTTTGCGTTTTAGTATTTTAAATTTTAACATGTGACGTCACAAAAGTATTGACCCCTCCATGCCCCTTGTCACACGATGTCACACTTCGGTGATACCCTCCCTCCCCATTAACGTGTAACGTACTTTATGGATGGC